AGAAATCATTTTTCTTTTCTTTTCTTTCATCACACACAAATGTTAAAAAACATGAAAGTCTATATGGGTAAAAGCTAAAGGGTCAAAACGGTAATAACTGATGCTTAAGGTCGCATGCTCCGAGGCACAGATCTTTTAGGATGTTGTTCAACTCAAACCAGCACAACTAGTTTGGAACTGAAAATTAAACAGCCCCTTACTAGTGTCATGCAGCATCATAGTCTTAAAGGAAGACTGATATTTTTTTTCAATATAATTAGATTTTGTATTTTGATACAATGTGGATGCAAAATCAATGGAGAAAACAATAAAGATGAGGGGCTCTCTTATGATTCAGCTTTAAAAAGTTTCAGTTTGATTTCCAGCCTCTTGTAAAACACATTGTTAGCATGCAGAGACCCACAGACAGTGACCCAAAACCCATTTAGTGTCTTCAGTTACAGTTTAACAGAAGCTAACAAAGATAATTAACCTGCTGCTAAAACCAGGCGTATTAACAGGTAGATCTGGTCTCTGTGTTCTGCCAAATAGCCCTGGAATGCCTCCATTTTCTTCTCCAGCAAGCTGTACACATAAAAAAGGACGATAAGGAGATAGATAAGGAGAGAGGACATAAATGTAACATCAGAGGGACGAGTGAGAACTGGCAATTCAGAAGACACTGAGGAAATCTGATATAAAGAGATAGTGAGTGTTTGTGTGTTTGAGAAAAAACAACCCCAAAAAAAAGAACACAACCTTTTTTCCCGTTCTTCAGTAATTTTGTTTGCATCCTCTGCAGTTTCTAAAGCGCAGTCCACATCAATGTATATCTGATCCAGCTCCTGTCACACACACACACACACACATGCCTTATGGGTGAAAACACAGTTATTTACTCAGCTATATAGGCTTTGTTTGAGGAGAGCTTATTTTCTTGTGCACACTGACTAAAAACACTGTCTCTGGATGAATAGGCATGTATGTGTGTGTTCGAAGCAATTTATCCTGCAAATGTACATATGTCAAATCTTACTTAACCTGTTTGGTCAAAAACACCAGGCAGCTGTTTGAAATTCCTGGTATAAACCTTGAATGTTCTTGGTGAGCCAAGCTAATGGTCTGATTCAGTAAAAGCCAGGAGATATGCAGTTATAGTAAATATAGAAACAAAGGCGTTTCATTAGATTGCCATTAGGATGCTATTGAAATGGATGGCATGAGTTCTCAAACATTCCTATTCTTTTAAATGGTATTAAACAAGAATAGCTTCAGAGATAAGTGTGGGCTGTGCTCAAAAGTTCTACCTACCTGTGACTCAAAGGCATCGTTGTTGATTCCTCTTTTCTGACATGTCTTCTCCATTGTGTTCAGCTCCATCCTCTCACTGCTTTCCGGACAGACAGTGGGAGGCTTTTTTTTTACACACCTGTAATGTTCCTCTCCCCTCCCTTGCCCCTCCCTTGCCCCTCCCTCTCTGACTCTGTCTCACACACACACAGATATCCTTCTTGGGACTTTGCATTGACTTCCATTCACTGTGGACAGCCTAACCAAAGCCTTCACCCTAATCAACCTGACAACACTTCACGTTACCTCAGAAATGACCTTTTTACAGACCGGGCTTTGGCCTCCATGAGGATAGCTGTGGTAACAAACACACGAATGTTTTAGATCATTCAGGGTTTTTTTTTTTGTTGAAAACAGAAATAATCACTGTCACAGACTTTCTAAAAAATGTGACCAAATACCAGTCAGCATCACATGACCTCTCTCATTTCTTCCTGTACCCTCTCCACTGGTTCCACAGATAACATCAACAATGGCTCTGTTCAGCTCAAGCATCCAGTATGAGAGTGAGCCAGCATGCAACATACCAAGATCCAGAAACTGAAAGAGCTAATGAAATTCAACTATTATTCATACTGCTTAACTTACAACTGACATGACATGAACAACTATGTGCAGTGAAAAAGCACTACACTGCTCACATACTCTGTGTAATGAAGGATCGTTGTGTTGTTTCTGTAAAGATGCAGCCTGTGCAACTTGACACTGCAGAATCGTATTTATTAAATTACCCCAGCAGCCACTAGAGAGCAGTGGTGTATAATTTCTCAAGGCCACAGTATGTATGGATGGTATGAAGAGGTCAGAGCAGGTGATAGAAATGCAATGAACAGCAGGTGACTGTGGGGCAGCAATAGATCATTGTGCTGCAATAACAGTTGATTGTGGTGAATCAACCAAAGATATAATTTCAAATACTTTTAAATTCTATCATATATTTGTAAATACAAATGCAGCAGTTTCACTGTTCGTAATATCATCACTAATTTAAACCATTTTAAAATGGGACTGTAGGTGAGGTGTCCCTTTTGGGTTTGAGAACTTGTGGAATTGAACACAATATCTAAACCCAACATTTAAGAGATTGATCATAGACTGCAGTTATCGCAGCCCTATAGTGATGACACAAAAGATGATTATGTACAGCCATGAGGAAACAGTGACCATAAATATAGATAATTGTGATAGAACACGTCAGACTTGATTAGTGATCAGTGTTTTAGCCACAGAGACAAAAAACAACAGGACCCTTAGAGGACTCACATCTTCACTACATATATTTCTCGTGAGTCAGACCTCATTTGAATAAACACATTTAAAATGCAATCAAAACATTATTCTACAATCAAGGAACCACAGAGCAACTCCAGGAAAGTGTTTGATGCTTTGATTTTTGAGCCCACACATTTATGATTCTAAGTCATCAAGATATGACACCAACTCGTCTAACTTCAGATGTATGCACATGATAATTAACGTGGGACACAGAGAGACATGTCTGTTAAAAAACAACTTTCTTCACTGTTTCTAGAGGGACATTCATTGTATGTAAATTATAAATGATTGCAAAATTGTTATTTGTGTTTTGCAATTAACACATCAAACAAGAAGCTAAATATGGCACATTATAATTTGCTCACAGTGTCGGATAAAAAACATCACGACTGACGCTTTGTCTATCGATGACAGATGGTTCAAGAGGGTGATTACATGTTTAAAACGACAAAGACCTTTAACAAGGGTTACAGCCTCTGTCACATTTCAAAAAGGCACAGAGAGTAATTGGAATATTCTGTTCATGAGATGATGTTTTAATTGGCACGCCCACGCCGTTCTGTGCAGAATGCGTACGGCCCAGTGTCTGAGGCAGGCAACTAGTGAGGCATCCACCAGATTGGTTCAGACACAAACAGGGCTCCATAATTACACTCCTCTATTCAGTGCACTGCCTGTGCGTCAGTGCGAACGTCATATTAGAGCTGCACATGGGGGACAGGAGATTGGAGAGGAGAGGAGACGAGGAGAGGAGACTCCTCACAGATGTGGTGTGTTGAGGTTGTTGCTGCTCATAGGCAGAAGAGGCTGTCATTCTCTGTCTCACACATGCGAGGTGAAACACTGAAGAGATGGAGCTCCTGTGTCAGACGTGCATCCAGCAGTAGGAGCTGTAAAACAGCAGCAGAGCGACGGGCTTGCAGCCGTTCATTCAAGGATGACAGCTTATTGATTCAGGTCTAGTTTTGGCTGCGAGCCCTGTATGATTATGAAATACGGCCTAATGATTTAATAAGGCAATGCTTGCTCTAGTACACACCAGCTAAAGACTTGGTGATTGGTGATTGCTCCCTCTTTTTCTCTCACTCTCTCTCACTTACACATGTGCTGCTGTAGACATTACATCCTCCTCTTGTCCTCATGGGCATTTACAATGGAAGCACTGGCTCAGCTGGCATTGAAAACCTTTTTTTTTTTTGCATTATTTTTACTATGTATATATCTTTTCCTATTTTCATTTATAAGACTAGAAATGTGGCACTTAGGTCACTAACTACCTTCAGACACCTTTGTTTTCATGGATTAACTCTAGGTCCACTTAGAAATCCCTTTGCATAACAACCAGACGATAATGATAATCACATATAAAGACAGTGACTGTGGTGATGAGGATGATTATGACAATTAGAGCCTGTAAATTAATGCCCCCTTATATCTCATTTATGCACATAATCTGCTACCAGATCAATTAAATAACCTTTTGTCCTCTGTGTTTGTGTGCATTTTTATTTTCCAGTATTAACATATCATAATTTCTGAGGTCCTGTTTAAGATTAGAGATAAGATACAAATTTTGGTTGAGTAAAAGTGAAGGTTAGGAGTAAGGTTTTCATTGCCTGTCCACAGTGAATGGAGGTCAGTGCATGCAAGTCCTGATAAGGGTATCAACACAAACCTGTGGGTGTGTGGACAGAATGAGGACATATTGAGAAGTGAGGACATTTTGGCCTGTCCTCACTTTTACAAAGACCTGCTTTTAGGATTAGTACTAGTTTAGGGGATGATACAGATTTACATAGAGACCCCTGGGGTTAGGGTTAAGGTGAGTGACCAGGGCTGATGGGTTAGGTTGCAGAATAAAAAAAAGAGAGGAGAAAACAAACTAATGGGTTCATATGCAATCTGAATGGGTTATGGCTAGGTGAGGGTAAGGGGCTATAGAGAATACTTTATGCACATTGGGGTCATACTAAGACAGAAGTACAAGGTTGTGTGTGTGTGATCAGGAATTTCTCATGTTGTGGGGACCCACATCTGTTAACACAGTCACATTATGGTGACTTGTCTAGCTTTTGGATAAGGTCATAGCGTTCTGAGCACATGTGCACATCTCTGCACCTGACCCCCACCCTGCACCCACCCAGACCTTCCTGCATGAAAGGGAGCATCATCATTTCCCTGAGAGCCATCGATGAGGTGTCACGATCTGCTTTAACGCTGGTGGGCAGAGAACCGTCCTCATCCTCTGCTCCCAAACATCCATCCACCATCCACACTCACAGAGGACACTGTGACGAGGACGCAGCAGCAGAGAGAGGGAGAGAGGGAGAGAGAGAGGGAGAGAGGGAGAGAGAGAGGGAGAGAGAGAGAGAGAGAGAGAGAGAGAGAGACCCTCCCTGGCACACAGTGTGTCAGTGTGATTTTGGCTGACGGGGGATTGTGGAGGATTCACGCAGGAACCCGTACGACCCTCTCCTCTTTCCCCCTGTTCCACACCTTTCTCTCCGCCTCATCTGTCATCCTTGGTCTCGGCCGATGGTTTTCTGATCTGCGCCCCCTGCTCCCACCTCAGCATCGGATTTTTACGCTTCACCACCTCCGTCTCCTTGGCTGATTTTTGGCTGAACCAGGGGGGGGCTGATTCCCAGCCAACCTGCGGGCCGGGCCGTGCCGGGCTGTTTCAGCGAGCCTTGATAATTGCTGAAGTTGGCACCCGACGATGAGCGCCTTGAAACCCGGGAGCGGGGCTCTCTCCGCGCCGGGGAGGAGGGGGCCCTGGTCCTGGCGGTTCCTGTGGTGGTGGGTCGCGGCGGTGGAGTTGGCGGTGGGCTCGGGAGATCCGTGGATGTCCGCGGAGGCATGCCCGTCCTCCTGCTCCTGCAGCAGCACCAGGATCTCCTGCGTAGATCCGGAGCGGGGCATCAACGCCTTCCCGATCCTGCAGAGCGAGGCGGAGATGGAGAACATCACCGACATGTGAGTGTCTCTACGGGCATCAGATTCACTAAAAGGGAGATAGGTGGTCCTCACATTTAGTTTCATCAAGGTGGCACTTTACAAATAAAGGAATGCCATCCCTCAGCCCTCTGGCTGCCAGTATCTGGATGATGTGGCACACACGGTGCGCAAAGACCTGCTCCTCTTTACGTTGCATCTCATCTAATGCATGAATATAATGTGAAACCACACAAATTCATATACAAATCCACACATTGATCTATTCTGGACATGTGTAGCCTAACATTACATAACAGCCATTATCATATGATAATGACAAACGAGACAAAACCCCGATTATGTGTATGTGTGCGTGCATGGTGTGAGTGCACGTGTCTGTGTGTGTGTATGTGGATGGATCTCGCACTCACAGTGTCCAAATATTAGCACAGACACTTACCCAATATGGCTTTTTATTGGTATATTAAAATGAAGCACCGAAAAGAAGAGAGGAATCGATGCAGAGGAGAAAAGGATATTCCTAGTAGAGTTATTTGTCTTTCTGAAGACTGGACTGTCCTCTATTTGGCTGCTGTGTGATGGAGATGATCAAAGATGACACAAAAACTGTGCTTTGGAAATGTACAGCAGCCTATACACCCCTCAGCACCCCAGCTTTTTCACTCACATTTCAAGATTCAGCCTGGAAATGAATCGAAATAAGCGTTTCCTATATCTGTGAGCAAATAAACGGGGGGTCAGAGCATTTAACTGCTGCAGCAGTCTGATTCTTGGCAAAGATAAACGGCCTTGTTGATAATGACTTTTGTCAGAGATAAACAGTCTTCATCGGGTGGCCTTGCATGAGCCTTGGAAGCTGTTTTTCAAAAATGAGCCATGCAGCCGGCAGTCTGGTGAGGAAGGAGCATCCATTCACTCCACTGCTCGTCTAATGTAAACAGACAAATTACTGAGGACAGTGCCACATCTAATTCCAAATGACCTTGCCAAAAAAGGGGGCAGATATTTATCATCTCCTACGTCTTTGTGTTAAATGGTTGGAAATCCAGATTTGACAGTATCCGTCTACATGACTAAATCACAAAGGATTATATTCCTATTTTGACTTGGTGAGATTTTAATGGGTGTTGGCTGTTTGAAAGATACTGACACAGGAGAAACAGTCTGGGGAGTAGTTTTATGCAGCCTAAAGATTGAGAAGAAAACAATTTTACCTGAGTTATTTATCATCTTAAAGTACAGATTTCTTGTATCCAGGAGATACAGTTTAAACTGATGGACATTTGTGGGTGTAGTAAACTTTACTCTTCCCTGTTCGCTGAGACAGAAATATGCAGAGAAGAGTGAATCAAATCTAATGAAAAGAAATGGATATAAAGTGTGTGCATGGTCTTGTATTTGGGAGAATTAATTTTAAGTGTCTCATTAAACCAAATTGTCAATGCTGTTTTTCAAAGCATGGCTTTCATTTATCAGCGTTGAAGCTGCTGACATTCTGGGTCAGCTTCTTTAATTATTGAAAGGCACAGTACCAAATGTTATTACTTTTGAAAAATATATATATATTTTTTCAGGTTTTAGTTGATAGTGACAACAGAGACCTGGCAGGAAATTAAGCCGGCAGACAGAGCAGAGCAGATATGCAACCAAGGTCGGATTTAAAATGGAGATGTTGCAATTACATGGTCTTTGGTGTGATACAGCGTCTTAGACCCCGAGGCCAGCAGGACAGCCCCTGTTTGCTCTTGTGATGTTGTCTTTTCAACACACACTTGTCAATCTTTTGACTTCCATTGACTAGAATGTGATTATTGTGGTATAAATTCTATAGAGAGGACAAACACATTGCATTAGATTGAATTTGAAGTGATTATCAGTGGCCCCTTCACTAATGATCTTGAAAATCAATAGATCTAATTAGAATAGTTTTTGTTTCTGAGTCATTGACACGTGTGCATGTCACTACATGAAAAGCATTATTTAATGATCCTGTGATTTAGCCAAACACAGAGGTGGCTCTGGGACAAAGAGCTCTGCAGTGACGGTTACAGCATGTCCCTTCTAAAGATTGTTTCCAGTTCACTCTGGAGGATTTGTTTAGCCCCAAAATGTTCAGATATCTGATCCTGTATCTTAGAAGTCCACGCATTGTATTTCAGAACCTGCTCACACAGTTACACTCCTGCACAAGAGGGAGTGGCTGCACGGTTGTCTCCTGTTGGTCCTTAAAAACTGACCGAGTGTCAAGTGCTTTGCTCAGGTGCAGCTGCGGGAGAGGAAGCCTGACAGCCTGCTTCTCCTGTGCCACATATATCAGCTGCAGCCCTTCAGCACTTCATTTTTTAATGCTGAATGCTAATTATATGGCCTAATTATGTCCCTTTGTCTTGTTGAAATGTTTCTGTTTATGCTTGTCCTCGGTTAACAAATGAGTCTTGTGACACACACTTGTATCTCCTGACAGTTACATCGCCAACCAGAGCAGCTTCTCCTCCATCAACGACAAAGACCTGTACTACTACAAGAATCTCAGGAACCTGTGAGTCTCCACTGGCTTTTATTACAGAGGAAAACGCTGAATACACAGGAAGGGGGTCGGCGGTTCGATCCCCGGCTCCTCCAGGACACATGTCGAAGTGGCAGTGACACTAAATTGTGTGTGCAAAGGACATGTGATAGAAAAGCAATGTAGTGAGTGAGAATGGGTGAATTTCTCTTCTAGTGTCAAGTGCTTTGTGTGGTCTCTCATCACAAGCCTTATATAAATATACATAATAAGTTCTGTGGTAATATTTAAATGTTTCTATATATTCTTAATGGTCAATATAGAGGCATTATTAGAACTATAACTATATTTCAATACCATTGATAACAATAGTAATAACAGTACTAACATATATGAGACATATTGATTTACTCTTCTTTTATCACTCTCCCTCTTTACTTTGTACATTGTCTTTATCTGTTACTTTCAAATCCCATTGTGTTTATCGCTGCAGTGGTTCATGTGCTTCCCTGTCTCATTTTATTTCTCAATTAAAAAAAGAAAAGAACTGTCCGCAGCATTTTCTTCTAACGCAATAATCTGTTAAGTGGGCACCACCTAATTTCCCAGCCAATATCCCATTTTCTGGACAGATTAGCACAAAGCACGTTACACACTGCAAGTGTCTGCGCTTTTTGACAATGTACAAAATGAAACAACACATATTGTTTGTCGTCATGTCCTGGTAGAACCGCACATACAGTATGTGGTGCTACTGTCTTCTCATAATATATAGCTCAGAGGCCAAAGAATATTCCATTCCATATATGTCCCTTGGAATAATTTGACATAGTCCATTTTCTTAGTCAATTTACTACTAAATGACTTAAAAGATATTAGATGTTTATTAAAAATTCCCCCATTTATCATTATTGTTTTAAAGGATGAATGTTGAAACTTTTCATTGACCCCCTGAAAGCATGCCACGGACCCCTGAGGGTCCCCAGTCCAACATTTGAGAACCACTGATAAAGCTAGTATTAAATACCGGTGCCCTTCAAACCATTCATTTCCATCCTCTGTTCTGGCTTTTGTAATTTAAATCAAAAGGATCACACTTTCTAAAAAGAAGTGCTTAATAAAACATGTATAAGTTGTGACTAATATTCATAAATAATCTGTTCATGTTTATTACTAAGGACATCATTTGGGTTGCCAGGTTGTAAAAAACAATCCCTTTTTTCTGTTATATCCTCCTCATGGATGATTTATTAGAAAGTGGCAACAAATGTGTTTTCTTCAGACGTCATGGAGCTGATCTGAATTTATGTCTCTGCTGTCATTTTTATTTCAATTATCGTTCAATAAGATATTGATGACGCTGTTATACATACATTTTTCAGAACGGTGACCAACAGCAGGCTCACATATGTATCGAAGCTGGCTTTCCAAAACAACATCAAGTTACAGTACCTGTAAGTAAAAACACATCCAATGCTTTCATGATATATAGAATACCTTGTGTCTTCTATTGATGTAACAGCTGTGCAGCCATTATTTATCTCCAAGAGTCATTTGTTTCAAATTATTAAATGCACTTATCTTTTGAATCCTTATTTTGAATTCATTAATGTTTTGCATTACTTATTGTGAAATGAATAATTGGTTCCAGAACATATTAAGATCAACAGAGATACTGTATAGGGTAACGTCATCAGAAGTAAATGGCTAAGTCAAACTCAAACATAATTTAAGTTTGATGATTGTTACACTGATCAAATGCACCACTTTAAGGTTAATTGTCACTGGAGAAAACATTTTAATGAGAAAAAATACTGCAGGCTTTTCCGTGCATGTTGTAATGTACTGTCAGTTGCTGCAACACTAACCTAACTTGTTGTTGTTGTTGTATTTCAAATTCAATGTCCTTCCCTGTTTTTTTTTGATTTTCTGATTTTAAGGAATCTGAAAGATAACAACCTGTCATCACTGTCCTGGAGGATATTCAAACACCTCAACATGTCTTATCTGTGAGTTCAGCCTTCATGATCAATCTCTCTTTTTATCAATAGCATTATAGCGAAGCTTTAATATATATCAACATATTGTTTATACATTTTGAGGAGGTATAACATATAACTGCTCCACCCCAGATTTGTGTGATGTGTTTGTCATTCTATGCCCATAAATAGTTTAAAACCACAAACTTTATTTAGAATTAAAATTTAGTTTTTATATTTAAAAAAGTGAAATTAATCATGATTAGCAATACCGTCTGATACTACATTTTCTATCGTGATATGATTTTTGGTCATATCGTGCTGGACTAGTCGAGAGCTTGCACATTCTTTCCAATGGTTCAGTTCTGCTCACAAGCATAAACCAGAATGTCTTACATAGTTCAGCATGGCCGTCTTGCTAAGACTGTGATGAGAAGATCAATTCCACTCATATCTCTCTGTTAAATAGAAAGTCAAGAGACCATTGGCTGAGCTTAAAGCATAAAGACTGAGGACAGCGGGGAACAGTTGCCCTGACTCCATCCTGAGGCAACGAAACAAGCTTACTAGCACAAAACTTGTTAAATCTGTACAAAAACCCAAGTGTAAAAAGTCAAGTTGTTGTTTTAGGGGTGTTATGTGCTGGACAGTGTCTTGTCCGAGGGCACTGACTCTCTCTCTTGAGTATCCGCTGGTTGCTTGGCAGCCTCAGGGTGAAAACAACACTCCAGGATGTTAACCCCAACTAGCCAAGTAATAGTTATAGGCACAAAAAAAAAAACATTACTTCTATATCCCAGGTTTTTGTTTGGACTCAAAATCGTGATATAACTTCTTAACTGATGAGCTTCAGAAGTGCAGATTTTTATATCGCTTGTCAGAACTTCCCCAGGTCTTTATGCTAAGCTACTCGTGGCTGTAGATTCATATTTAACAGTCATGCATGACAGTCTTCTCATCCATGGGCAAGAAAGAAAATGAGCTTAGTTTAAATAACGTCAAGTGTTTTTATTGCACTTACACATATTGTGCTGGCAGTTACCACATAGAGACCATTAAGTTTTTACTCACTCCATTATTGTTCTTGACTTTGTGTGCTTTGTGAATGTGTGTGTGTGTGTGTGTGTGTGTGTGTGTGTGTGTGTGTGTGTGTGTGTGTGTGTGTGTGTGTNGTGTGTGTGTGTGTGTGTGTGTAGGATCCTGTCAGGGAACCCTCTGCACTGCTCCTGTGAAAACATGTGGATCAAGCTGTGGTTAGGGGAGGAAGCAGACACTCAGGATCTACGCTGCATTGTGGACGGAGGAGGACGCAAGCTGCTGTCCAGACTGATGCTGCCTAACTGTGGTGAGGACACGGACACACACACAAACACACACACACGCACAGAAGCTGGAGAAGACATTTAAAGGTGTAGCAGAGTGGAAAGCAATGAAGCACCGGGTGGAAAACTGTAATTTGTCTTCTAGAGAAAATGTTCCATTCGCATTTGTTTGAATGTTCTTGTGTACTGTAGTTTGTTTTTGTGTGTGTGTGTTTGTGTTTGTCTTTATGTATGTATTTAAGTGCAGGGAATATACTATTACTGCAAGACAAGTGTTCTGTTGATCCAGATGTGGTGGTTTAGGGAATGATCGACTGTAAAAAGAGAGATTTGCTATTAAAACCTGAGAAAACATGTGCAAAGATCAATCACTAAGAGTAATCACTAATATTTATGTACCCACTGATAATTGAATTTCCACAGTGTGCATACTGTGCTCATTCTGCAGCACTCTGCTTAGCTTGTGTGCTGTAATTCCCAGAGGTTCAGTGCAGTGCAAAAAAACTGCAACATCTCACACATGAACAAACAAACAAATGACCAAAGGAATACATTTTTTATTCTATGTGGGATATTTGTCCATGACGAGATTAAAAAAGTCAGAAAAGGGATTGTAATAAAACCCCCCAAAATAAAGTCTCCTCCGTGCTGCCTATCCTGGCTTTAGTTCCTGTTCCGGAGGAGGGAGGCGGAGGGCGCTCTCTCTGACTGTGTCAAGGTAAAGCTTGGTGAGTCTTTCTTGCGCAAGCTTTCCAAATGCACTTTTAAGATTTGTGGGATGTTTCCCCTTGAGAAATGTTCAACACATTTTATCACCTTCCACTACAAGACACTTGCTCTTTTCTAAGACATATTCATCATATATTTATAGTAATCCCTAATGGGACTTGGGCACTTTGTGCCAACTGTCATTGCTGCCATGATGCCAGCCGTGGCCGAACTGGCAACACTTCATGGACCTTGCAGTACTGCATGCTTCTATCGTAGTGCCGCCAGCCGGCGTAAAACTGGTACTGCTAAAACAATTTTTAGATTTTATATCCTCATTATTGTTTTGTTATTTCAGTTAAATTTGTACATCTATAGTTTTGATCATTTCACTAACAATAAGAACAGCAATGCACACAGAGCCCTGCTTTAATGGGCGGTTTCTGCTTAGATTCACAGAAAGGCCACAGACACTGAAGAGTTGGACATTGTCTGTGTCCTGTAGGGATTTTACTCATATGATGCATAGATTAGAGGAGAGAGGAACGTGTGACATATTGACAGGCTGCGCCGCCTTATGGACTGGTCTCAGTCATCTGAGACGTTTGCTTATACCTGCAGAAAAGGTCATTTCCATGACGGAGAGGAAACGTGTGATTGAACACACAGATGACATCAGAGAGTCTCAGAAGAGTGGAGAAAATTCCCTGCATGTATCTCAGTAATATGAAGTGTTGTAAAGACCATCTGCACCCTGTCGTATAACACCGGTGACCTGCGGTCACACAGCGGATTTCATTTCCTCTTTCTCTGAATCAGTCGTTTATCAGTTGTTCAGGAAATAATTGTTTCTGGATTTACAGAAAGCTGAACCACTACACTAACCTGCAACAGCTATAATGGCATTACTGTGAGAATGGAAGGCACTTTTCAAATATTTGATTGAGATAAATTGAGAGAGAAATTGCTTATATTGTTCTGACCTATGCTGACCAATGCTAAAAAATATTAAGCATTCCGAAGAAAATACTTCGAAACTTAAAACTTCTATATTCTTGAATGAGTTCCTGTCAAAGCGCAATAGAATCACTCTAACCGGGGAGCTTGCTGCCCCTCCACTACAGACTTCCACTGACCACAAACCTTTTATGCACTTGCTTAAGAGAATATTTATCAAGCCTGAATGCATAAATGTCAGCGGTTAATTGATGCTTTATTCTTACCTTCTTTAGTGCATATTGCATCTCCTGCATACATTTTTAATGAATCTATCTATTTTGGATGCGCTGCTATTCATAAACAGGGTCAGATTACAGCTTGACCTGTCTGTGAAAGTCTGAGTCTGTGCTGCTGAAAAATGTGTCCGAACACAGCCTGGATTTTTCTTTTGTTTTTTTATGAACACAGGATGAGAGCGACAATCAGTAATAATTTAAAGCTTGACCCAAGTAAACAAACGAAAGTGGATTGTTCCATCCATTCTGCAAATAAGTGCAGTCAAATCTAGTTTGTTACTGTAAAGTGACATAAAACACCCACTTCATGTTTGATTTAAATTCATAAAAGACATAATAAAAGCAGTCAGAAAAGCTTTATGGCCCGTAATAGGAATGTAATCTAATTTCTGTCACTAATAGGACAGAACATTTCTCTGTTGTTGACAGCCCAAATGATTTAGTCAGAAAATAGCTCGGGGCAGTTGGGACGCACAGGACACAAACAATAAGTTAGGCTGCAGGAAGCTAAGAATGTCATTGATGACTCCTATTGATCTGTCCCCTCTGCATCCCCTCCATGAGGTGAGGTTATTTTTGGCATTAGCACAGTTCCAGCAGGGTCCGTGGAGACGTGGTCAGGGGACCCCCTGGCAGTGTGTCATATGAGGAGGAGGACATGGTGGGGCAGGGGTGGCAAATAATGCCCCAGGGTTAACAATGATACTTCAAAAGACCTCTCAGTCTGGCCAGGCTGCAGGCCCCAGTCGTCTCTCTCTCTCTCTCTGGCTGTGCCTCCTCTTTATTACTCATTTTCCATCTGTCTGTGCCTTTCACGTGTGCGACTGCTCCTCTGTCTGTATGGCTGAACATTTCTGAGTGACATATGAGCGAGGCACAAAGGAGCGGAAGTACCCGGCGATGCCCTCGGGCTGATACTGGGCTCCCGGGCCACCCACATATGTCTCTCTCACTCTGTGGACTGTTTACTGCTGCGAATCGACTCGGGAAAAAAAGGGGCTGGCACACACAGACGGTTCCCACTGCTGACAGATAGAAAACTCGACTAAAAAGTGCTGCTCTGATGCCACTGCAGTCCCATGCCTGTGCAACATGAAGGAAAAATAGTGAATCACTCAGCAGAAATGTAGGGGACAGCTGCAGTTGGAAAAAAATAAAAAAGCTCAGTTGTTAAGAGGAGGATGAAAACAATAAAATACCTGATACAAACCCAGACACTCTCCACTCCTGTTTAATTCCCTCTAATGACTCACTCGTAACGTATATGATGATTACTTGAGCTTACTAAGTTCAGGAAGTCCCACCCACTACACTTCAAGCTTTTGTGGGTAAAAGTAGCTGCTTAATGCTCCGAAAGACATAAATGTTAATCTTTGAAAGCAGCGGTCCTGAGAGAACGTGCTTCTCTTGTTCATGTGCTGTGGAGACGACAGCAGATGGATTACCAGGTCTCTCCTGGTCACAGCACAGTACTGCAGCACTCTGTCTTCATCTGTCTCCCGCTCTTTTCGTCTTTCTCTCTGTCAGTTCATTTGTTGAATGTCTGTCTATTAGGCTCCTCTGCCCTTTGTCATCCCCCCTTTTCTGTCTGTATATCCGTGTAGTTTATTCCTCCCTCGTCTTTCCCTTTCCAGTTTATATTTCCTTCGAGTTAACACACTGACGGATATGTTTGAGTGCCAATCTCTAATCTGGAGTCAGTCCCAGTTGACATTAGGTGAGAGGCAGGGTACGCTTTAGATCATCAGTCCATCACAGGGCCAACATACAGAGACAAAGCATTCTTACTCACATTCACACCTCCAGGCATCGTAGAGTCTCAAATCAACCTTCTTCCAATCTGCATGTCTTTGGACTGTGAGAGGAAAGTGTAATATCTCGAGAAAATCCATGCAGACAAACTTCGCAAAGAAAGGTTGGTTCCGAAGCCGGGACTCGAACTTTTGAGGCGGCAGTGCTAACCACTGCTCCACCATGCCTCCTCCAGTCTTTACCAATTAAATTAATATAAACAACAGGAGTGGTTATGCTAAACTTAAAACCATAAAATCAGTGGAGAGCATATTCCTCAACAAGGTCCAACCCTCCTCTTTTGAAATCACATTTAAATTCACTAGATCTATTTTTCATTTGGAACTTCAGGGACAAATCAGATTTTCGGCTAGTTCCCCCATGGCCCAGTCCCTGGATCCACCCCTGTGGTGTTAATGTGACCCATAATAGTTTTAACCAGAAATTAAATAATCAATAACAGATTGATGATTTCAAAGATGCTCAGTGTTTCCCAACCCCCTTTATCCTCCTCCTGTTTCATATTGTGTTGACAGGCGTCACTGCGCTCAAACATCAGAACAATGCAGAGGAAAACTCAGGCACAGATTTGTGTTTGTGTGACTCATTTGCTTCTCTTCCTTTGTTATATGGGACAAAGATTTTTCCCACCTCGTGTCAGTAATCGTGACTCTGGTGTGATGAAAATGTATAATATAGACATAATATATGTGAACACCTCTGTAAACACCACAATGGCCGTCAGGAGCAGGAGACGTGATATTCACATATTCTTTTAGGTTCAATAAAGTGTAAAGTTTTCAGGGTCAAAATTTATCCCAATCCTCGACCTTTATAAATTAGTGTTTACAAATGATGCTGATGGTGAGCCCCACAAAAACCAACCAAACAGACAGGGTAACCTGATAGCTGATCTCACCACATGGGCTCATGCGACATGAGCAGCAGGTGCCAGGTTTAATTCCCAGCTGAATGAACCATTTACTACGGCTCTCTCCTCTCTCGCTCTCTCATCATTTTCAAGGCCTCTCGTCCATATAAAGGCAAAAATGCCAAAAACACAAATCCACAAAAGAAAAACAAATAAATAATAAAAGAAATAAAAGAAATGTACATTTATTGGCTGAAATGAGGTTAGACATTCAAATGAAGCATTACAATTATGTTTGTCAATTCCATCCCATTTTATTTTTATAGCGTCTAATCTCTATAAACAGATTCTTCATTTGAATGTACATAGCCTGTAGGCGAGGGACAAGACTTCTGGTTTCTGTTTCTAGTTTTACCAATCATGTTTTAGCAGGCGATTGCCAACAGGTAAACAATCTGTGTGGAGAGAAAAAAAAGCGGAACACATCGACCAAAATGTATCAGCTATCAGCATTTTAATTAATCTGCAATCATATGCAGATAGCTCTTAATTGAGATTAGCCGAAAATGTCGTCTGGACCTATAACACTCTTGCTGTTTGTGTTTTGAGTAGAGACATGTACTCATGTTCCTAGTTGGACTGTAGAATACCAGAGAGAGAAACCCAACAGTTCCCACAATAGCAAGCACTTGGTGAGAAAGATAAAAGAAAAGAATTAGCCGCAAATACCTGTTGTAATGCCCCAAGTTTTACAGTCTAAATCTAAACTAAACTACCAAGTGTAAACTAAAAGACCAAGACAAGTCAGTTGAACATCTCTTTTTCTGGTAGTACAAGTGCATCATTTTCAATTATCCCATGTAAAACAGTTCATACTGCCCAACCAGGACTAACTGGTAGAATGAATTAAAATGGAGGTGAAATACTTTGATTTCATGAGTTGTTTTTCAATTAAATCACCTCCACCTCATCCTACTATGGAGCCACATGGGAGCTGAAGAAAAAGCCTGTGTTGGCCTTTCAGTACAAATCTAGAGTGACACTTAAACCCAGGAGGCCCCGGGGCCAGGCTCTCTTTTTGAAGGGGCATTTTCTTGTTGGAAATTCAATCGATTGACTACAAAAGGGCACAAAAGGATCACAAAGACACTTAAAAAGACGACAATGACAATCAAAGCTATTGCAATGAGATGCAAAGTAACTAAAAGAGACCCTAAAATGACGATAAAGAGCCAGAACATAAGTACAAAAAGTCATGTAAAATGAGGAGTAACCACACAGTATCCACACAGATTGTCAGAGGGGCTTTTACATGTCTGTGCCTATAGGGCTCCATGAATCACAATGAATCCATATCCTTCAGAGATGTACATAAAGTGAGCGATAGAAGAAGAGAGAATAGAACAAGTATCAGATCATGAAATTGACTCTTGAAATAGAAATTCAAGAAGATAGCGTTTTGTTTTTGTCAGAGCAAACCATATAACACAGTCATTGTTTTGGATGGATCAGAAATATTTTGGACAGTTAATACAGTTGGATACTCTGATTTGTAATATTTGTATTTCAAATTTAGACAGTCACATAAGTGCAACCAAATATACAACTGTAGCTTTGGTCGCGCTACGTTCACGTGGGGTAATTTTACTGGTTTATTTCAACCCCCTTAGGAATCCTAGGAATCATAGGGTTTATATGTGTATATTTGTGTGTGTGTGTGTGTGTGTGTGTGTGTGTGTGTGTGGCTGTTGTGGCAGTGGAAAGCTGATTTACTGAGAGTCTGTTCAGATATGTGGCTCTGATATGGCAGCTGGTCGGCCATCGCTGAAATGACTGTTTTCAGTGCGTCTTGCAGTGATTGAGAGGGTTGCTGTAGTGATAAGTGGGTTGCCCTGGTGATAAGCATTCTGCCGATGGACAGGACAGGTTGGGAGAGGAGGGGAGAAGGGGAAGGGAGTGGGTTCGATAAGAAATCTGTCCAGTATTATCTGCAGTAGCTGTTGACACCTGTGTCTTCGCCTCTCCTGTTTTTTTGGTCTCACCTTTATATAATTTTACTTTTATTGTTATTTTCTTCTTCATTTTATTATCTCTTTTCTTCTTCTCTTCATTTTTTCTCTCACTATTTTTGTTCCCCTTCCCCACTGGTCCTCTCTTCCCTTCTCTTCTTCTTCCTTTCTTCACCTATGATGTTATTAGACAGGGGGACAAGGGTGGCAAGACTCTGATTGAGTCTGATTGGCCATGCTCAGGTTGACTCCTGGTCAGCAGTGCACGCACACACACACACACACACACACACACACACACACACACACACACACACACACACACACACACACACACACACACACAGTCTAGTGTCACCAGTGTCTTTGCTTTGACAGAGGCTTCAGACTCTGTCCAATCAATTTAGTACTTGCTCTGCTGAAGACATGCACTAGTAATCAGTGTAACCATCCCTGTGTTTGAACTCTGCCTCTTTGTCTGACTGTTTGATTAGAGTGACTGTGCTTAAATGCAAGAGTGTGTCTTTGCGTATGTGTGTGTGATTGAGATTGAGTTTGAGGTCTCTCTTTGTGTGCATTTCTTTCCACTCGGTGGTAGTGGGTGTGTGTGTTCCTGCTCTTCCACTCTTGTTGTCGAGGTTGTTACGTGCCTTGTGTTTTAACTGAAAGGACGAGAATCGGCCATGAATCCTAAGTTTGCTTTCCTCCCCAACCCCCTCTCTCAATCCATCACTATATCCTCCTCTCTCTGTCTTCCTCATCCTCCTCCTCTTTGTCCCCACCCCCTGGTTGTATGTAGAGGTACCCATGGCAACTCTGAGCCCAGCCAGAGTGACAGTAATGGAGGGGGAGAACGTGCAGCTGTCCTGTACAACATCCGGTGTGCCCTCACCTGAGCTGATATGGAACATGGCACTGGTCACCAACTATGTGGTAAGACTACACATGCACGTGTGTGAAAATCCAGACTATGGTCCGGACCATGGCTCAACTCTTTTTCTTTGTGACATTGTTTACATCTGATCTGGTTACTTTTGGTTCCACATTGTAATTCAAACCACCTCTGCTTATTTTTCTTCTTCTATTGTTTAATCCTTTTTCAACTTCCTGCAATTGGTCCAAAAGTCTGAACTGTCCAGAAAAGTGTTTTCACACTGCAACCATGCACATTTCATACCTGTTGTTTTGGTTTGGACTAAACTGAGAGGTGAAACAAGATGTGAAAGTGTCTGTAGGGAACTAAAACAAATAAGCAATAAGTGATTATCTAATCAAAAGGAAAACTTTGATAATTTATTAATTGTCTCTGTCTTTTTTCAATTTAAGATTTTTGCCAGTTTCAATTTTTCAAATGAAGAATTTTGAAAAGCTATAGTTTTTATGATATACTCTCAGTTGCCAGTTTATTAGGTAAACCTGGCTAAATCGAATGCAGCCTCATAAAACAGCCATTCAATAAATCCTGAAGGTTATAATGTTCAGGAGTTGTTGAAGGGAATATTTGAGGCTGTACTTTGAGCTGCTGTTGACTTGTATTTCACTTCCAAGTGTTTCTACTGTCTCCTCATTGATATAAATACAATGGAAAAACAGGAGGTAGCTGTGTCTGTGAAATGCTTCATGCTTCATGTAGGTTGTGTTTACACTCTCAGATTGAGACATCGGGACAGGTTTCGATGCTGCGACTGTCCAACCTGTCGTCGCTGGATCACAACAGCAAGATCAGCTGCATAGCTGAGAACATTGTTGGCGATAAGGAGTCCTCTCTGCTGCTGGATATACTCTGTAGGTTCACCCTGTGGCACAGAGCCCTAGTTTAATGTAGATTAATGTGTCAAAGTGTCTCTCTGTGTAGTAAAAAAGAGAATTAAAAGCTGGAGAAGACAACTTTTCTTCTCTCATTTTATTCATAGCTTTTGCATGCTGTTTTCTTCCTCTAGATTTCTCCTTTGCTTTATCTTGTTTTCTGTTTTTTCTATTTGTGTTATAATCTCTCCATTGTCTTCACTTCCTTCAGTTCCTCCCAAAATCACTAAACTGGGTGATGCAGTCTCAGACCATCACTGGTGCATCCCCTTCAGCATGTCAGGTACGAGACAAATAATATCCTTTAATTGTTCTTTGCTGTTCCTGTGATTTGACAAGGTCCGTCCCTAAATCTCACAAAATGTATTAATCACAGTAATGACTAAATACACAAAGAAAGTTTTTATTTAGTCTCATCTTAAAATCTTTCCAGGAAACCCAGAGCCGCAGTTACAATGGTTTCTGGATGACAAGGCGGTGACGGAGGATCGCTACATAATGACCATGATCCATGACATCACAGAGCGGGAGTACCACGGCTGCCTGCAGCTGGACAGCCCCACACACCTCTACAATGGGAGGTACAGGCTGTTGGCTAGAAATAAATATGGGTCAGACGAGAGGGAGATGGAGGCCCACTTCATGGGGGAGCCCTGGGACGGTGAGGACCTTTCACATAGTTTTGATCAAGACGATATATGCAGCACTAAATCTATTTCTTTCAAAATCAATATTCAAAAAGTACAGAACTTGAAAATATTCATGACAGAACATTAATTAACAACTGTTTTTGAAATCAGTTGATTCATTCTCAGGCCACAATCTCATGTGTAAACTTCTCAGATGTGTGGATTTGCTTCTTCTTTTCTTGCACCTCATTGTTGATCCTCTGACTGTGACCATGTCACTGTTTTACATTTCTGAATGTGAAGTGCTTTTAATGTGTCTGAAGACTTTCCCTTTTAAAGACTTTCAAGCAGCATTGTCTCATTGATGTTATGTCACATCTTCAATGTGAACACAGAATTTATATATTTGTAAGATGTTCATATATTAATTATG